CACACACACACACACACACACACACACACACACACACACACACACACCCCAGAGCAGGAAGAATGGTGGACACTTTGAAATGACATGAGGAAGCTCAGATCTCTCACTGTGATTTAACTTGATGAGAAAGATGCAACACGTGAGGTGAAAACTAAATATCATGCCCATATGTTGTTGTTGAGTTTCTTTCCACAGATTCCATTTTTGTCGCTCGACGTACAAAAATGTTAAATCTCGCGTGCAGACAGCCATGTATCCTAGCGTGTCAATGTGTTGGGGGCACCTTGGCCGCACTAAGTGCTTTGGGAGTCTCTCGTGACCTTTTCAACTCTCTACATGACCACCCATCAATACGCCCCATGACGCATACAATGTACACACAGCAATACATATACACATCCCATCCCTCACCTCTCTAAGTCCACTTCTCTTCCTAGCATGCCACAATTCAACGGTCTTTCCCACCCAGCCTTTTCTTTTTTGCATATTCCTTTAAAAAGGTTATTTTTTATTGAAGACTTGAATAAAAATGTAGGCGTTTGACCATACATTTTAAACTTTGCCTGTATGATCCTGTACTTTAGCATAGGCAGCTGCTGCAGATGCACCATGACGGTGCTTTGGCAGAGTCAGCACGGTGAGACATCCAACACCATAAAGGTTAGTTTGCTTGTGTGGCTGCTTTTAAACATTAACAACAGCCACACGCACCGGAGAGGTTTAGTGCCTGGACTAGATCCAGACCCCGTCAGTCTCTCTGCTTGGCTTCCAGAGAAATCCAGCCTGACGAAATCTTGCTCTCGTTATCGACATCTCAGAAGCGGCTCATTAAAGTGTGGCTGGTCGGATTCTTTTGTGCTCTTTTTTTTTTACAACGGCTTTGATTGCATACAGCCATCATGTTTATTGGCTTTCCAGCTTCCAACTTCCCTCTATGTGGCTCATAGTCCACTTTATTCTGATCAGATTTAGATGTTCTTTTCCTCTATTTTTGCAAAGCCATGATGATACCACGGACACAACGCGCAGACACACCCACACGGCTTCGGTTCATAGTGAGCTGCATTGTGGGCAGGAGTCCAGACAGAACCTTCACACCCACAAAACTAAACAACAACCTCAAGGAAGTCTGTAGAGCAAAAACGATAAGTTTTATTTAGAGTCAATGTCTGTCTGAGTCATCGTCTTACAGGTGACTGCACCAGCTCTGTGGACTTTTAGTGACAAACTTTTAGTACGTAGTGACGGAGAGCGGTGTAGTAGTTTAGAGCACCACACAAATTAGTGATTTGTGTGGTGCCATGTCTGTACACACAGCGGCAGGAATATCCAACTCACATCACACAGCCTCTCTCTCACTATAAACACACACACACAAAAAAAATGTACACAAATGAACACCTGTTGTGTACCACTCATCCATGAACCACAGGCACACACAGAGACAAACACACAGGCATGCATCTCCACCACACACACTAAAATAACAATTTATGAGCCAAAATGGTATGTTTTTTCTCTTAAAAGTGAAACTTGGGAAGCTTTTTGGCTGTGAGTTAAAGCCCGTTTGGACTTATACTGTAAAAAGGAGACGCGAGAAAGAAGCAGCAAAAGAAAATAAGTGAAGCTTTTCCTGAATGAGAGACTCTTTCATGACAGTCAGCTGGAGTTATTGGCATATTCTTCAAAAATCCTCAGAAAATAATGACGTAGGAGACCAACAAACAATACATTTAAAAAACCAGTCCAACCACAAATAGCACAACTTCTCATTAAATACTCAACAATCAAAATACCAAACTGGAGAAAGAGCAAACTGATTAATCTATATTAGGGCTAATCGATAAGTCAATATAATTTATCGTCTTTCAATGGAATCATATAGTGAAACAATCATATATCTAGATATCGTGACACACGATAAATTGTCTAAATTAGTAATAAAGTAATAACACCAGAAAATCTAATTATTTTGCAGTAAATTTAATTAAATAAGAAAATACTCCGTACTCTTCATTAGCCATGTGTTAATTCAAACAAGGGAAGAAAAAAACATCTGGATATTTCATAGACGCTGTATCGTGACATATAAAATGACCTTAATCGCAATAGAAGATTTAGGCCATATTGCTCGGCACTAATCTTAATTCTAACAAAGATCCTGTTCGTCACTGCACTCTGTACCGACGTCAAACATGCGTATCATGGACGCCGTCGCACACAGAGGATCCCTTTTTAATTGTTACAGACGTGTATTCAAAGAAACAAAGCTTTAACTACGCCTGGCTGCTCCACACACTTGATAGCCGTCCATCAACAAAGGATGAGATGCCTCGCCTCGCCCCGCTTTCATAAATCAACAACAGCTAATAAAGAGATTGATAAATAATGAAGCAGAGGGATCATACTTTGGTAACTTCTTCCACGCTGCCAGCTCTGGCAAGACTGCTGTCGTTTGGTTTCGAATGTCTCTGGTGTGTTTGTCTGACTTTGTTGTGATGCCGTTTGTTTTTCCTTTAATATAAGGATAACTTAAACGCTTCATATTTAATTCATTGCCTTTTTGGCTGAGAAGTTGGGGCCCCTGTATTGTGTGAAACAAGTTGTTATGGCAGGCAGAGTTGAGACCGGGATGGATGGAAAATTAAAGGAAGCAAAAGCGTGATTTGAAAAATAAAACTTACTGCGTATCTGTCTCTTGATTTCCTTAGTGGGATCCAACCAACACTGGAGAGAGCGAGCGAGAGGTAGTGAGACACAGAGCAGGAAGAAAGTTAAGCTCGAGCATGAAACAGTGTCACAAGACACTATACAGACGTTTCTACATGTGTACATTACTGACTTATTATTACGGTACATCCTGTGAGTGGTTGAATGCATACCTTCTGTTCATGGCTGTCCGTGTATGAGAGTCCAAAGTAGTCTTTCTCCATTAGGTTGAGGTGCTCACACACCTTAAAGAACAGGAACTGGCCCTTGGCACGTTTCTGCAGAGAGAGAGAGAGACAAACAAAGGTTAGAGTTTGTGCATTACTGTACATTTTGATGGGAAAACCAAATATTTAAAAGCCACTAAATTATTTTTTCCAGTTGAAATGTAATTTTCAAGCTTGAGAAATCGCAGCAATATGTATGGCATGGTAATAAAGTTCCGGTTCAATCCTCCCTATCAATGCATCTCTGTTTCATTACATCAGTCCCATTATTCTCTCCGTCCCTCCATCTGTGTCCTGGCAACGCATTCCTTCATAGGCCCGATGGGGGCCTGAGCCATAAAAGTCCTCCACACTCAACTATGACAATGACATTTAGCACACATCCATTCATGCGGTGCACGAGCGTGCAAGCGCACACACACACACACACACACACACACACACACACACACACAGGCGCCCTTTAAAACAGACAGAAGGTCAGACAGAGAGCGGGTGGAAAAGATGTGAAGTAATGAAATAATTTAATAACGTTCATTTCTTTTCAGTTAGCCAGCACAGCTTCAGTCTAACGCTGTGCAGACACACACACACACACACACACACACACACACACTGGCCTCACAGACGGAGTTAGACAGGGTAGGGAGCGTGGTGAAAGTGGAAGGAACGAGGATGAAAGAGTGCATTTTTCTTCTCGTCCTGGGACAGCTGGAAACATCTGCAGTATTTTCCTACACTCGGTCAAAAGACATGCGCCACATTCACACACTCACAGTACAGCTGCATTCTGAACGCCCAGAGAATGTGACCTTTCAGGGTGTCTGTGTCTGGGCCGGCGTGCCTCCAAGCAAGGCACTGCCGTAAGAAGTACTGTCACACATGAGCATGGTTCACCACATCAGGACTATTTACGTATTGCGGAGTTAACTGTTGATCCACTCTGCACTATACGCCTTTTCTAGGGCAACAGCCTCGGTCCAAGTTTACTTCCTGTCAGCTACTGCGTCAACAAACAATGGAACAGGAAATGCAAACGGACCAATTTAGAGTTTTGATGTTTACATCCACAGCTTGCATCCCCGGCATCAGAAATCACTGTAAAACATCAACAAGTACTTCAATGTTCTAATTACAAAGTTGAGATGAATTCAATCATATAAACGTAATCATAAGGAAGAGTGAAACCATATAATGACCATATGAGGGCTCGAGAGATGAATTACTGGTAAACACGAGGCAGGAAATGCACTGCTGCTCCATGCATCCAACCCCAACGCCGCTTTGCCCGATGTATGCAAACACTACTTGACTCATGCCTGAAACCCAAATGAAATTCTATGAAGCGGTACTTAAACCGTGTGACACTAAAATCCTGCTGAAACCAATACTAATGAAATTCTTAGAAACAGCATTAGGACCATGTGACACTAAGACTCTCCTTTGAAACTAGCCGTTAAAGATTTCCACGCGAGTCTTACCGGCGAATAACATATGCAGCGAGTTATTACGCCGGGATACATTTGATGGCATCCGTTTAATAAATAGGACGTGATAGAAGGATAGACGTGAAGAATAGAAACTGGTGTGTAGTGTGCGTGCGTGCGTGCGTGCGTGCGTGTGTGTGTATGCGCGTGCGTGTGTGTGTGTGTGTTGGAGGCCTGCTGGGCAAAACAGAAAATGTAATCTCTGGAATGCATTGTGCATCTCTCCCTCTCGCGACCTAACTATGCCATGTGTGGAGGGAGGGATAGATGGATATGGATGCGCGTGTGTGTGTGTGTGTGCACTTCAGGACAATAGCAGTTAGTCGCACTATCAGCGTTTTCTGTTGCGAGACAAAGCAGCTACTGTTCAAACCACCGTAGACACTCACAGGCGCGCTGTTGGGCGTTGGCATACTGTAGATGAGGGGAGAAGGGTTTCGCCATGGTTAAGTTGCCGGTTGAAAACCCCCCAAAACTAAATGGGAAACCCTGGATCCGGGCATGTAACTGTAAACAGCTCAAGTGGACCTGGACAGCGGCTATTCTGGGCTGCGTCCCACTGAATGTGAGGCAGTGTGCTTTAAACAATAACTGTGGTATTAATGAGAAAAACACATGTTGAAGGACTATCGGACAAAAAGGAACTGTGCAGAGACCTTTCTGTTCAAATTATTTATTCTTGTCTCTAAATTTCTAGTTAAGTAAATACCAAATGTAAACACTTGTGGGTTGTAGGGAGCTACAAGAGAATGACTTTTAATCACTAATGGTAATAAACAGAGTCTGTCACAGCAGCATGGAGAACATGTGACGTTGTGAGGACCTGTATGAATGTTTGAGTGTGTGTAGAGGGCTTTAGGGCACGTGCCTGTTAGGGAGTAGCAGATGCCGAAAACTAATCTGGTGGGACCCACATAATCTCCCAGGTTTCTGTGTGTGTGTGTGTGTGTGTCTGTGTGTGTAAATCCCCCCCCCCTTCCATCTGCAAGTCATTCCTTCCACTCCTCTTTTGGTCTGTCTGTGCACTTATTAAATATTGTTTAGAGTGATTCTGGAATGCCATTTTTCTGTGTGTGTGCGTGTGTGTGTGTCCTGGTCACCAGACAAGCCCCTGTAGCGTGCTCTGCATTTATCCCCTTAACCCCGCCCCAAACAATGTGAGCGGTTGCTTCTGCCATAACTGCACTTTGAGTCAGAAAGTTAAATACCCCACGCCCATATGCTCATGCTCACGCTCATGCTCACGCACACACACACACACACACACACACACACACGATCCTATTAGCAATTACATCATTGACACAATGGCACTCAGGTGTGGCCTACATGACCAGCAAGAGAACATAAGACGGACAATGCGTCTGTCTAAATGAAACCTCCCCCTTTCTAAAAGACGACGGCTTGCTGATTTTTCCCACGAACATGTCTGCTGTGTGTCAGCGTCTAATCAGTCACTGACACACTTAAGTGGACACATCAAATATAGAAAAAAACTGATAGTTAAAGGGACTATTTTATCTCGCACCACAACACTATTCCACATTCTGCAATTCAGCCACAACACACTGGTTTGATCCCATGTGATCAGAACAGACCTAACCTCCATCCACATTTTTTCTCATCCAAACTGATGGTAAGGAAATACAGAGAAATTGATAAAGCCAAAGATATTTCCACATGATGCATTGTTTAACCAGCGGTCTCGTCCACACCCTCAGAGTCTCGTCGACGTCTTACCTCCACCTCGCAGTCGAAGTCGGTCCCGTCCAGGAGGGTCACGTGGCACACCATCATCTTCATCTTGGTCTTCCTCACCAGGCGAAGAGGAGACTGGAAAATAGAAGTCTGGCCTCCTTCTCCTCCTCCCACCTTTTCACCTCCCGCCTCCCCTTCCTGCTCCTTCTGCTGCTCCTCTGCTCCGTCTCCCTCTGCTGTCACCGGCGTCTCCTCTGGACTTTTCTCAGCACTCTCTTCCACCTTCTCCCCCTTGGCAGGCTGACGGAGTTCGCGACGAGAAGAAAAAAATAAATAAAAAAGGAGAACAAATGATGTCAAACCACAGCTACACAGTGTTCCCAACTGTGGCCATCATGTACAATCTTCTTCAGTAGCATGAAGGTAATCTCCTGAAATCCGACTGTCAAAACTGAGCGAGAGGGAAGACTACGTTCTCTCGCTCACTCTCCTTCTCCGAAAAAAAAAAAAAATTTGCTCTTAGAATCTGCAGGCGTTTCTTTTGGCCTGATTACTGAAATTCTGATGTCACTGGGTGGGCCTGGGTGTCCTAATGTGATCACTGGATGGAACAGTTTGTGCATGTGTGTGAGGGAGAATGGCTCTGTGTGTGTGTGTGTGTGTGTGTGTGTGTCTCTCTCTCTCTCGCTCTCGGCTGAGCAGCAGTTTCAAACAGTCGGCATCTGCTGCTGTGAATATTTTTGTGAACCTTTAAACTGTTTGAGCATCGTCAAAGAAGCTATCTGACTATTTATCAGACAACATCTCATCCCTGGGTTTCTTATTTAATGTTAAAATAAAAATAAGTAACCTAATGAAGTCTGTGTGTCCACAATAATACTTGGCTGAGTATTATAGTTCCACCTCTGTGATTACAAACATTTTAGCAAACAAATTGGTTTTTGTTACATTTGGACAGAGCCAGGCTAGCTGTTCCACCCTGCTTTCAGTCGTTATGCTAAGCTATGCTAACCCTCTGCTGGCTGCAGCTTCGTATCTAGTGGACATATGAGAGAGACATCAATATTCTCATCTCACTCTCAAGAAATCACCAATCAAGCATAAAGGTTCATTCCAAAAAATGGTGAGCTACTGCTACTGCTTTAAGGGGAGGTGCTTTCCTATCTCTGCATTGAGGATTGTTAGCACCAGACAGTGGACGCCTTAAGTCTGGAGATCACCAAATCCTGGTCCGCGGACGAGTACCAGTTCTCAGAATATGTGCTACTGGGCCACAAGGAAACCATGTGATTTGGCATAAAAGCTGAATATTAATTATATGACTTTATACACGATTACAGGCTATTTGATTTCTGTAAATAACTCGGTGTAGCCTGTGTTGTTTTTCCTCATCACTCTCTGTCATAACCCCAACAACATACCAATGTAACTTTTCTGTTATCACCACCTTTCAGCATTCAGCAGGACATTAAATCTTTGTCAAGCCACTACTTTGTCTAGCCACACTAGTTTTTATGCTTGCACACATTATTTTGCCCTCTCTTGTAGCCTGTCTCCCTCTCCCCGTCATTAAATAACTCATATAAAGGCTTATTTGTGTAATGTCTACTTTGTCTTCCAGCAGGAGTACTGATACGCTAACGTCTGACCAATACCTCAGTGTCTGCGCTGGCGGTGGAGTGAGATTCTGCTTCTTTTTCCTTCAGTAGCTCCGACTTTACCACCTCCTTCTCTTCCACTTCCTCTGCGTGGCCGTTCACTTCCGGGGCAGACTGGTCCTCTTTCTGTGTCTCCTTGCTAACGGCGTCCTCTGTGGGGGGCACCTCCTTGGTCGGGGAGGTCTTCATGGGTCAAGGACAGACATTAATAACCCAACCAAAATATTCATTCCTAACAGTTATGATTACAACATAAAATGACAGTGTATAATAAGAATTTCACCTGGCTCTGAGACTTCTGCTTCTTAAGCCATGTTGGCAGGTAGCGAGCGATTCCTTTGCCCTCCTTCTCTTTCTCCTCTCCCTCAGCGTTGGCTACTTCCTGGGTCTCTTCCGTGGACTTCTCCGATTGGTCCGGCTGAGCGGCCGACTCCTCGGCTTTCTCCTTCACCTCGGTCTCAGAGCCCGCTTCTGTTGTCATGATGACACGTCAACCTGCAGAGCGATGGAGGAGAGCGTTAGATTTGATTTGATCACATAGTGACTAAATTATTAACGAGTATTCTTATCATATGTATACATAGATATTAGAGGATAATTTCCTGGATCCTTTGGAGGATACGCCAAAACATACAATTTAAATTATATTCCGTTTTCATACGTTGATAATGATAGCATTTTTTTTGGGCTGCTGGTGTACCACCGAGAGCTGGAGAAAAATCGGACTGCCCCACTGAATTGTGCACAGATATAAATCTTTCATGGCACGCAACTTGAATTTTAGTCTGGAGTATCTTTAATAAATGAGCCACATGGTCCCATGTTATGCTCTTTGACAACGACCAATGTTAGACAAAGAAAACATCTCTGGAAATACAAAGTAATTAGGTCCTTTAGTCAAGCCATGTCGGGAATATAAACACAAATATTATGTATATTTAGTGTTATATAAGTTATCTAAGTCTGGCCATTTGGCTCGCAGCTGTTCGCACATGAGCTCATGGCTGATTGAAACATTAGCTCTTGGGTTGGCGTTGTCCAAGTCTTTTTTACACAAAGTACACAACAAAAACACAAGAGTTTAGCATGTTATTATGTCACACAACGAGTTTCATCTGGGCCAACAGCTGGTTACATGGAGTCACTCTCACACACGCACACACACACACACACACACACACACAGAAAGAGGGGAAATTACTCAATTCTTATTATCTGAGTCATTGGTTTTACCCCGCAGCTGTGGTCAACACACACACACACAAACTCTTCAACCCAAATATTTTTGGCAGCGCTGTCCACACACCCTATCACGGGAACAGACATAGTAATTCAGCATGACACTAATTTGTTGCTAACACTGGAGGACCATGACATCAGGTCTTGAGGTGAAGTTGAGGTCAGGATATGCAAAACCTGTCCAATAAGGGCATCTACCTCCATACACAGTCTGCTTTGGTCAGGTGTGTGTTTCTACATAAGCAGTTTCCGGCGGAGGGTTAAGTTATTGTCATCAATGTTCCTTTCAATGGTTCTTAATCTTCCTTTTTCTCTCCACACACACACACACACACACACACACACACACACACACACACACA